TGGCAAATCTGGGGCGGGAGAGCGAAGTCTGGGGGTGCGCGGGGTTGTTCTCTGCGATCCCATTTAATAACTCCAGTGATTTGGAAGTTTGCTCGGCAGTGGGATCGCTCGCTGTTTAAAACACCCAACTGTCAGGTTTTGCCCCAAAACCACCATCTGGAGAGTGCTAAACAGTCTTTTTTTTTTTTTAATTCCCTTTCCTGTTCAAACCAACATTGGTGTCCCGATCCTGCGGGACTCAGTTCACACAAGTCAGTACTACCTCCAGTTCATCGGCTTCATTCCTGTGCAGAAAAATTCAGGACATGAATTTTGGCTGGTTTGAAGCATGATGTCATCTTTGGCCAACAAAAAATAGTAGTAGCACAGCAGCACTTGTAAATGTTACTAAGTTCCCATATTCATATATTAAATGATTGCGGTTTACCTTTTAATATCATTTTATTTTTAAAGGCTAAAGAACTTGGGTTTTGTGCAAATGCATCGACAACTTTTTGCTGTGCAAAACCAAGTTTGATGTAACCTTTCTGTATCCCTGGTGAAATTAGCTGTGGAAAAAATAATTTCAAAGAGGAATCTATAAGAGTTTGAACAGCAGAAGAAGGATTATAACAAAATTCCCAATGTTTCAATAATACTACTCCATAGTGACAAGTACTGTGCCAAATTCAGCTTCAAGGCATTCTCCAAAATCGTTACTCTGATGTCACACCAGTCCAGAGAAGCTGATTTAACACTATTTGATCAGAGTAAAGGCTGATATAAAGTGAGAAACTGCCCAGGGAGACAATCAAAAGATGCCAATGCAAAGACAAATGGGACCTCGTTTGGCTGCTCTCACCGTTGGATTATTTGTTGGCTGCATTTAATTTTTCACTTAGACCCAGTCTCTTTTAAATGCTTTTTACAACATGGCCTAACCTGGTTCTGCTCCCTTCCCCAGACAGGATAATCACATTAATCTGATAATGGCCCTCAGTTTGGAGCATGGCTTCTCACCAGACAGTGTCTGAACCAGTGCATGTAAATGTGCTCCTTCCTTCCCTCCCATCCCTGTTTGCTCCTTCCCTGCCCTCCTGCTGTTGCTATTTTTGTGCAATTATGCAGCACTTCCAAGATCTCTCCCCTACAAGCCAGTGCTGGTCTCCTGTCCAGCAGCTTTTGCTGCCCTGGTTTGCACTGAAGCAACTTCAGCTGTTCCTAAGGAATGCCAGGGAAACCTGCACAGGCGTGGAAGGAAACAATTTCAGTGGCACACAGAAAGGTGTCCTGTGGAGGTGGGAACCCAGCCTTGGGAATGAACACCACAGGATCTTGGGGAATCTTGTCTTTACTTGACACAGCCAATGACTTGGTACAATATATTGGATACTTTTTTTCCCCCTATTTCTCTCTTTCTTCAACTGTGACTTTTTCTATCCCACTCTAGGAGGCACAAATCAGCAAGAATCTGGACCAGGAAAACTCCCACCATGCAGCCAAACTGCGGCCACCTCCACAGCATCGCGGGGAGCGGCGATCCCTGCCCGGCCGGAGACAGGGACAGCTCCTGCCATCCCAGCGCCGGGGCCGTGCACATCCAGCTGGGAGAGGCCAGGGAGAGCTCCAGGCAGGGCTCCCAGAGCCGCTCCCACGGCCACGGGGAAGCAGCAGGGCCGGAGGATCCCGGCCCGGACTCGGAGGATCCCGGCGGCAGCTCCCTGTCGGAGCTGCGCTACCTCCTGCAGTGGCTGCACAAGAGCCTGCCCTACCTCCTGATCCTCTGTGTCAAACTCCTCATGCAGCATCTCAGTGGTAGAGTATGACAAAACCAGGGCTGAGAGAGGAAACCCTCCCCCCCAAAGAGACAGACTGATAACCTGAAGGCTGAAGGATAATTCAATTTATTTTCAGCTTTATTTCTATTTGCTTTATTCAGCAGTAAGAGAGATTTGCTAAACTGCATTTCAGTGGCTGCTGTTTCCTTTGCTGGCATATGTACTATGTGCTTAATTATCCTGCTTGGAGAGTCTGAGCTATTAATTGTAATTACAAAGACATATGAGAAGTGGCTGCTTTTTAACCCAGTTCAGTGATTTTTTTTTTCCTTTTCATGTGTATAACTGATCCTGTTTTCCTAATAGGCATTTCTCTTGGAATTGGGCTGCTAACAACTTATGCCTATGCAAACAAAAGCATAGTAAATCAGGTTTTTCTAAGAGTAAGTATCATCCTATGACACAAAATTCTCTAAGTTAACCAAGACTTTTATTCATCAAATTTTGAAAGAAATGGGAATGGAAATACTGCTTATTTACCTAATAATGTTAGGTTTCAAGATGGAAGTACTCTTAATGCTTCTGTACAGTGTAGAACTTCTCGGATAATAAGGATAAAAAGAGGGGTTTTTTTTTCCCCTCCTCTGACTTTGACTGGAAATCACTTCAACTGATAAAAGCTTTTTGTAACTTATGGAAGAACTTAACTATATTTGTGGATTCAACAGCAGTTGACAGCCTAAATTTTCATCTCTCTGTTCACTCCCAAAGGGAAACCTGTTGTTTCTTCAGAGTGGGGTGGGTTTGGTTGTGTTTTTAGAAAAAACCTTGACACACAGAGAAATCGGTATTTTGAAAGCATTAAAATTACTGCTTTACCTTTCCACTGAGTTCTCCTGTTTCATGTGGCCTAAAACCACTAAGAGAAAATCCTCTGGTAGTGGCTGTTGAGGTGCTCTGGGGGCTGTTTCAGACGCTGCTCCTGAGGTAAGGACTGCAACGTGTCCTCCCAACTCTCCCACAGGAACGGTGCTCCAAGCTGCAGTGCACCTGGTTACTGCTGTACCTGAGTGGATCAGCCCTGCTCCTGTACTACACCTTTCATTCTCAGTCCCTGTACTACAGGTAAGCACAGAAACACCTCTACTCACCCCATAAATCACTCAAAACCAACCGAGAACATTTATTGGTTTTCTTACATCGTGGCCTTGGTTTCTCTTTCACTTTAATCTCCCTTCCTCCCCTTCTGCCCAACTCAGCAGGTGCTGGGCTTAAAAACAGTCTGTTGGAATTTCCTAGACCCCACAGTGGACTTAATGGCACTGCTGTGCCATGGGAATGTCCTGGGGTTGATTCCCAGCTTTGGCCCTTCTGGGGCTCTGGGCAGTTTATGACTCCAAGGGATTTTTCCCCTTGTTCCCTCTGTAGCTGCAGCCTGGGCTGGGAACCAAAGGCTGAGTGCCAAAATGAGAAAGCAAACCCAGGGATGAGGGTTGTGATGGAGACACAGCAAAGCCTCCAAAACGGGAAGGCTGTCAGAGATCCTAAGGATCAATTCCCAATTCCTTGGCAAACATTTTTCCTTGGTGTAAACCAGGTTTCCCTCTTTGAACCTGCTGTGATAATCTCTGGTTATAGTTGCCTCTAAATAGGGTTCTCCAGTAACTTCTGCTACTTCTTTTTGTAGCTTAATCTTCTTAAACCCTACGGTGGATTTTATGAACTTCTGGGAGGTACTTTGGATTGTGGGAGTCACAGATTTTATTCTGAAATTCCTCTTCATGGGCTTCAAGTGCTTTATTCTCTTGGTGCCTTCTTTTATCATGTCCTTTAAATCCAAGGTAAGGAAACAAGCTGTATTTTTGCTTCCTTGTGAAGATTCTGTTCTGGTAAAATGAGCTAATTATTAAATTCTACCTAGAGAAAAGTCTTTAATTAAAGATCTGTATATAATCCACTGCTACACCCTGGGCAAGAAAACCCTGTGGACTTCCTGTTCTTCCCTGCTTGGAGCTAAGGAAGGTTTTCAGTGTGCTGGGAAACAATTCCTCGTGTTATGCCACTGGATAAATGGGTTTATTTCTGTCTCTGAGGTGGGGGTTGAGGAAAGTTTTCCTTTCCTGCACTCCAAGAACGTGCACAGTTGGCCTGGAGCAGCTGGGGCACAGCAAATTTGGTACATGCCTGACAATGTCTGTCAGGGTTTTAAGGGCTGCACATGCAAACAGCTGCTTTTTTTTCTCTCTTCCAAAGCAATTCTGAGTTTTCTTTTTGCTGATAAACCTCAGCCATAATCGTGTCAGATCGATGAACTTGATTCACAGCTTAATTTCTCAAATCAGTGAGGTTTAATAATTTTCTCAGGAGCTTGCCCTGATTGGTGGTGTATTTATTTTTATCTGCTTCCCGAGGTGAGGCAGCAAAACCAATTACATTTTATCTTAAAATTGCAATTACTAGTGCTGGTTCCAAAAAATAAATTAACAAGTGCAGTTGCATGTGGTAGCATTTGAACAGGATTGTTCTGGGAGGTTTTATCTCTTAAAATGTGCCAGAACAAGTTCTCCTCAGGTACAACTGGCTTCTCTAAATACTGATTTATAATCAAGATCTTTGGGTTTCTCTACAGCTGGTGATGTAACATCTAAAAAACAGTTATTGAAAATTCCATTACACCAACTGTGACCTAAATTGTGCCTAAATTAAAGAAGGAATCTGATCAATAGTGGCAAATTGTGGCACTATCCAGTG